TTGATTTAAATTATGAATTTATTAACGGGAGCTTCGCTTTAGCCCTGGCTAAATCTATATATTATTCTGTTCATTGTAGACAAAAGAAGACTAAGTTCTATCTTCTGATCACTCTTGACAATTGTTGAACAAGTATTTCACCAATGATCTCATAAAGATGCCCAAGGTTAAGCCAGGTTGTCCGCTAACAGTTCCCAGCAGTATACTAAACTTAACTACACTAAACAGCTCGTATTTTCGCGAAGGTCAAGAACGCGCGAGCAGTCAAACGAAAGGTCTGGAGCGAGGATGAAAACGGAGAATGAGACAGGAGAAGGACTCTTCCCCTCACCCAGTTGATTTTGAGAAAACTGAAAAACTGACAAAAGAATTGACTTTGCACAACCTACTAGTGATTGTTGCTTTCAGCGACTTGAAAACCTAGTTTTAGCACTTCAAACGAACGCCGGTCACTTAGGATTCCACAGATGCAGCACCATCATCCCGGCATTGTGAGGGCATAATCTTGTCAAGTTTAACCCTTAACAATTAATCTCATGGTCTCCAAATTGTTCCAATACGAGAAGCAGCAGAGAGGTTGGTATTATCAATTGAGTTGATTCAGTGCGTGAATAATATTGGCCACAACAAAGAGATCTGAGAATAGCCATGTAGGGGTTACTAACATTACTGGAGTTAAAGTTCCGTTAACGGACATTCCCGTGAGCAGCACTGAGGCCGCTCTACCTTCCTATCAAACTGCTAGTAGCAACCCCCCGGGGGTGTACTCCCTTAAAAAAGCCATATATGTATGTGCCGCCCCACAGGGTAGGGGTTTTGCGCCGTTTTTGTCTGAAAACGGGTATAGACTTTGCCCATTTTGGTCTGGAATCGGGTACGGTAATCGAGCGAACTACGGGATTGTATGAACGTATTCATCGTTTCAATTCCAAATGAGGTGGAAAGAAAGAGAAATTGAGTTTAAAAAATGTTTTTGTTCCTGTTCTAATCCAAGTGATGAGGAAATAATTTCTTGAAGGCTAGGTCTGAGAACGGGTTGAAAATTGACATTTTCAACAATTCCTAGGAATACCGCCTCCCCCCGGGGAAGCAGCTTAAGAGGATCTTTCCTACATTAAGTGGCCGCTTCCAGTTGTGGACCCTCTGCTTGTGTTTTCCAGGAGAATCCACTTTCATGCGCTTCAGTGGTATTAGCAATATTATTACTTACTGATAATTTAGCTTCTTTCATTATCAAATACAGTTCATCATCTTCACGTCCCCAACCCCAAAATTTGTTGGAAAGTCCATTGACCTAAAATTAACAAAAGAATGATTTTGAAGTCATTTATTGTAAATTGAAATTATTGAAGTTATATTCAAATAAAACCGAAAGGTTTTTTGTTTCTTGTTTTGCAATTGCTTAAATTGCAATAACCGTTACGACGATCGTATCTGAACGTTTAAGCTGTTTTGTATTTTCGCAGTTCACATCATCTTCACGCTTCATTCCTTTCACGGGTTAAGATGAACTCAACAAATTGGCCTGCTCCCAATATATGGGTATTCATTGCTTAAATGGTAGAGTACTGCAGTGCTAACGCGATTCTAAAATTTTTCTATATTGTTGCCCCCGCAGGGATTTCGCCTAGAAATCCCGAGGATCGGAGGCACCCTAGTAACTCGCGCGTATATGAAGGAAAGTACTTACAGTTGAAACATACAGTATGCCAGAAACAATCTCGATTTGCTTGAACAGGGGCCGCGAGGAATCGGTAGGTAATGATGACGTTTCTATTGTTTGCGCCCGCAAGTACGAAAATCCCGAAGGGACCCCTTAGGTAGATTTTGTGACATTTATTGTGCAGTCATACTTCGATACTCTTTTGCGTTACGTGTAATCAGAGACATTCTGTGGAGCAGTTGTTTTGAAAGTTATGGACCAAAAGACACTCGTTAAGCGCAGAAGAAGTTATAAGGTGCGTATAACTGTGTATATATATAAAAACTTGGAGAGTTTGCTAGACACGAGTTCACAAATCTTTGATTGAAAACCTTGCCAGACACTCTGAGTTCAACTGTAAATATTCGAGAGACTTACTAGAGTAACGTTTACGCCAAACGATCAAGTTTTCTCCTTTTACGTGTCGTTTATTCCTCTTCAAAAATACACGCTGATAACGCCAGTTTTATCCATAAGAATTGTTTTGGGCTGTTTTTATCAGATCATTTTCTATTTTGACAATTTTCAAATAGAATTTGACCTTCGCCGTTTGTCGTAACTGTGTCTCGAGTGAGGTTAAGTATCACGTGCATATCAAATTTGTACCACGTGACCATGCAAGTTTCCCAATTACTTGTCGTTTACTGTTCATTTTTTCTACACATAGCTTAATGGTTTCACCCAATTTTTTATCCATAAGAATTGTTTTGAGCTGTTTTTATCTGCTCATTTTTTACTTTGAGAAATTCTCAACTTGAATCTGAGGTTTGCCGTTTGCAGCATACGTGAAGCTTAAACTCTCTTCTATCTCACCATCGGCAACCACCACTGAAGTCACCGAAACCAAAGTAATCAAAAACCAGAAATAGGAATTATATTTTGAAATCGTATACATGAAGCAATCCTACACTGTACGAGGGTAGCTAGGTTCGATTACCAGAGTCTGCTAGAGCGCCGGAAATATCAATTCACCATTGTCACATAGACCATGATGAACCTTGTTTACCTTCCAAAATTTGCATAACTTTTTTCTCCAATTTCTCAGTCGTCCGAAGAGAAAACGAAGACAATGGTTATGCAAAATTTTGGGGGGTAAACAAGGTGCATTATGGTCTATGTGAAAATGGTGAATAGAGCCTAATACGTAGAGACAATACTGAATGAACAGTGTCATGTCCATTTCCGGCTGTAACAAATGGTAATTTTGTGGCGTAGAACCTGTTGATAGTGTTTTATTTACTTTTTTTTAAAATTTAATTTCATGCATTGTAAAGATGTGTGGTCTCGGGACTAGAATGCCTATCAAATATAACTGAGACTTAATTTGTAAAACTGTCCATTTTATTTTAAAAATAAGAAAAAGAATGAATTGTACAAATAGATGCTGATAGGGGCACGAAATAAAAAGCGAATGTACAGCGACATATAAATTTATAGGTAAACAAAGCAAAGCGAACGAGCCGACTTGAATTTTGAAATGCAAATCTCATTATTTGAAATATATTCTCTAAATTACCCCTTATTTTCAGTACAATTATCATATTTTACTATCAATCTATGGCATTGCTCGTCGATTTTGTAGAGATTTGTGCGATTGCACTTAACGCGAGTTAAACTAGAGATAATAAGCGGCTTTTAAAAAATTTTCACACATTACTCACTTCATTAATTTCGCTTTGTTTACAGAATAAACGGCTATTACAAATTTTTCTTTTCTTCTAACAATAAGATAAGCTTAATCGGACCTAAGCGCCGTCTCTGGTTGCGGAAACGAAATCCATTTGAAGCTATTCCCTCAATGATCTAGCGCAGGTAAGATACTGCGAGTCGAATTCAAATTGAATACGAAGGCAACTCTGATGAGTCAATGTTACAAAAACTAGCCCTGCTCTAACTATTTTTCGGATTCCTTCCGCCGGTTTTGGCTTGTATTAAAACTCTTATAAACTACCGTCTGGCGCGCGAAAACCGAGTCGCAAAAACGAGATATGATAGAAGATTAATGTATCAACAATCTCGTACAAATTCATATCTGTACGATTTTTCAAGCCTGGGTTATTCGTAGAGGTATTTCAGCCCAAGTAACAATAAAAGTTCCTATCCGAGTATGATGACGCCATGATCGTGTCCGACAGAACATCTGTTTCTCTGTTGTTTCTTAGTTTACCAATGAAACCGATTAGTCATCAATCGCCACTAAACAAAAATTAAGACAGTGGTTAAATAGAGACTGAATCCGGTCAAATGATAAGCGGTCTGATCATTTTATACCGACTTAGGAACTGAGCCACCATTTTAAATTTCTAGCAACGCGTAGACCTAATAGAAATTCAAACGTTATTCCTACACGAAAAATCATATTGACCTGAAAATTGTTAAAACGATAAGTTCCTAGGAAGTCTTATTCCTTCATTATTGTATTATGAAACGTAAAAATCAGGCCCGGGTTGTTCAAACGTTGGATAGCGCTATCCAGCGGATAAATATTGGAGAAACTAATTGCGCTATCTTGTGGATAGAGATTTATCCAGCGGATAGCGTTATCGACCTTTTGAACAACTGGGGCCAGAAGGATTGGTGAGTATAAAATATGACGCAAACCATGCAGGAAGGATGTGTAAATGTCTTTAGTTCAGTTTATCACTGTAACACTTCGCTAAGGTAAATGATGGGATTACTAGAGAATAGCTAATATATCATAAAAAAGAAAGTTCGATGCAAATATCACAAGTGCTTAACTAAAGTCTACGAATCTGATAAGAGAGCGTCTAATCGCCCAGTAATTTTGAATTTTCTCGGCTGCCCGTATGCAAATGTTAGTGAAATGGAATAGTCGCGATTATCAGTGATAAACCATATTTTTAAGCAGGAAAATAATTTACTTTACGAGCTAAATGAGACTTTCTTGCCAGAAATTTAATTTCCTTTAAACTCCTAAAGTGTTTGCCCTATTTTTTTAAAAGGCGAAGTTAAACTGCTCTCGTAATTTTCGTTTTAGTCTAGATATTTGTTAACTTTTACTGTTTAAGTGATCGTGAATTTTACGCCATCTTCTTTATGCTCTTGTACCCCCAGGGACGTCATAAACCTCACATGTCTACCCCCACTAAGTACCTGTATCTTTAACAAAATTACATATCAGCTCTTTGCTTCTCCTTAACCCCGTATCTCACTGCTACCCTCCCAGGCAATTTTTTTCATTGTGCTGAACGTGTAATATTTTCGCGTTAAACCTTTGCCACGTATTCCTAAGAGGTATAATGACGACCAGGGTAGATTTTCCCTCACTGGAAGCAAGATGTCTACCGAGCACCAACTCCGTGTACACTTCTTCTCGATTTTCTTCACGTTTGCTCTCATTTACCAAGAAATTGAAGGTATGAACGATAGCGAAATTGATGTTTTTATGTTATTGAAGAACTGTTTTATACATACATGCTGGTAAAATTTTGATTTAATGCTAAAGAACTGTGAGTTACAAGAAGGCTTTGATTTCACGAAGGAAGAAGCATTGTTCACAAGTAGTTACTTTTTTATTAAGCCAGTATCTTTATGGTCAAAACATGTCGAATAGTCGCACAGTGGCACTTAATAGTTTGTTCTTATTTCCACCACAGGACTCAGCTTCAAAGCAGGAAAATTCAATGTGACCACAACTTTGAGTCTGTTTGCCTGTAAGAATGTTTCTTTTGAGGAGCCTTTTCACAGTGGACAAGAAATTAAAATCTTCATTTCTAAAAGCCATGCAACGGAAGGTTCTACTCGAGCTCGTGGAAATGGTGCAGCAATTTGGGTGGAATCTGTGAATAACAAGGCATTTACTGCCTGTGTTTTGGAGTACGGAGATGGCTCAAGTGGCGCTTCGCAAGTGAACTGGATGGCGCTGCAATCTGTACCTGCTGGCGCTCAACTAGGCACAGCTTCTTTAAACGCCTGGACTACTGGAACAAAGTGTAAAAGAATCGCTTTTGAAAAGGTTTGATTAGTTCAGTTTTTCATCTTTTTTTGAAATTTCATTTTTTTTGTCGCCTACAAAAAAAACCCTTCAGCCTTTCACTTTATACTCGTTATTTCATATGTTCACTCATAAAAGGTGCCCAAGTTTCACGAGTGCCCAAGAGTCATGCCCAAGTTTCAGCGTGTTTGACAACGTTGATGTTGTTGCTATGCAGGTGGTGTGACGTGTTTTCTTACTATTACCTGTTATGTCATATTTTTTGAAGAGATGAAAAGTTTGATTGATAGACTGGGATAAACTCAACAAAATAATGTTATTTTTATCAGTTACCGTGACGTCATTAATGTGGCGGCTATATTGGCTGCCATCTTGAATTTTATTTAAAATTCGTTTTTCGCTAAAATTTGTCTTAATGACATTAAATTTGAGAATTAAGTTTGAAGTATGCTATAATCAAATATTTTTCTTTTTTTGGAACTATGCTATGTGTAATTTTTTATAAAGAAAGTAACGAGCATTTTTTCTTAGAAGTGGCTAGCCTTATGCTATTTATGACGTCATATCTTGCTACCATAGCAATCTTCCATGACCAAATTTGAACGGAATTTGCACTAGGAATAAAATGAGCAGTTGCTAAAAAGAAAACGCCTTGGCTGAAAATTCGTTTTTGAAAATATTGGGCAAAACCTGTGCGCTTCTACCAATTCAATTGATGTCAAATTTCAAGTTCTAAATCTTCAATCTCTTTCTTGTTCTTAATTTGTTTTGACAGGGAAGAACAAATTAAGAACAAGAAGGAGATTAGAATAAAGAAAAAGAAATAGAGGAGAAAAGATAGGGCTTTAAAGACCAGAAAGCCGAGTAAACTGAAGCAGCTAAAGAAGAAAATATATAGAAAATTGGATCAAGAAAATAAAACAACTTTTGAGAAACAACTGGGTCAAGTAAATATATTATTGGAACTTCTAACGGTATTTAGTCTTGTATACCCTGAAGAAGGCAGCATTGCCGAAACGTCGGTTAAGATTCTTATAATAACAGCGTCATTTTCACAATTTTTAAATTTACATTAGTTACTACGCTGCGCAGGTTTTTCAATTTTTATTTACACAAGTAAATATATTACTTAAAGTAACAGACTAATAAAAAGATGAGAAATAAATCAAGAGTTGAAGAAACTGAAAAAAAGAGCAGTGAACTTATAGTTTATGTCCGAGTTAAAAAAACTTGCAGGTAGATTTATTTACAAAGGATGCTGGGGAAAAAAAGGAAGGAAGTAATAGAAGGGTTTAAAAAAGTAAAAAAACAAAAAACACTGAAACTAATTTTGGTTTGGTTTTCTTGATTGTTTTGTTGGTTTTTTGTCTGTTTTCCTGATTTTCGTATCTTGCCTCTTTCTGACTACTAAACATGGCCAAAGAAAAATGATTACAAAAAAATTCAACTTTCATTTGTAAAATCCTAAGAAATATTTGATTAATCTATACAAGACTCTCATAAAAAAGTTCCTTTGAAATAGCGACACTTCAGTGCTTCGTCCACAAATTTAAGAGTTAGAGTATGAAAATATCACGCCATAATGTGGTCTAGGAATAAAGGGGTTAATTGTTTTTTTAAATGTTTATTTCATTTAACACTCTGCCCTCGATCAGCAACAGTACTGCTTTCCATGGTAGAACTTATAGTTTCTCTCCTTTGTCATCTTTGTTCCTTGAAAATATTTTATGGATAATATCATTTGTTCATATTTTTCCTCTTTCAGCTTTTCCAGGCTCTTCCAAATATCTTCGTCACTGTTCGTCACCAGGTTCTTAAAAGACCTCAAGACGCTTTGGCCCTGTGGGTAGATGACTTGCGCAAGGACAGTTTTAAACTCTGCGCCAGAGAAATTAAGAGCTTTGATGGAATTCACAAAAATATCAACGTCGTAAGTAATAATCCAGATAATTGCTTTCTTCGAAAACTAATTGTTTTGTTAGTAGTGGGGTCTTTTGGAACTAAGTAGAATTGCGTGAACTCTTAACCACAGAACGAATTTTATGCACTGTTATGTTGGTATTTTCATTAACACCAATATAGATTGTTTTTCGTACAAGAAAGTAGGCAAAACTCTACAATAGCTTATTCAAAATTGCCACGGCTCAGTATCGTCATACCTTGTAATCGTAGCAACTTTTTGCTACAAAATTTGTAAAAATGTGCCTGAGGAGGAAATGAACGTTTAATAAAAACGTTGATGCTCGATTATTTTTCTATCTCATCAATCCCCCACCCTCCTTCTTATGCATTTGAGAGCAAAGCAAATATTAAATATGTGGCGTTGTTGGGTACCCTTGCTTTGCTTTCTTCTTGGTGTGAAAGCGTAATGACATTAAGAACAAGTGTTACATTTATAGGCTCAAAAATTCTTGCTTCATATCTTTACCTCTTCCCTGCAGGATTGGATGGCTTTTACCAAATTGAAGACTGACAATTTCACCTTGACTGATAGTCTCCTGTTTACAAACAACAACTCACCATCAAACAAACAGGACAACAACGCTATTTGCCAGGTAGTGCCATTTGACTCGTGTTTTAAGGCTTGCCTCAAAAATTTTGTGGGCTTTAATTTCAAGTAGAAACATTTCTCTCATCTTCACTTGGTAAGCAGTTTCCTATCCAGGCTTGATTCTATTTGATTCGGTTTTTCATTGTCTGTCTAAGTCACGTGACCGGCATTGGCCTTGTAACGGTCAAAATGTTTCACCGAAAATGGGGAATACTTAGTCAAACTGTATTCTCCTTATTTTATCGTTTTTCTAAGGCTTCTAGCCTGAGCTTTAGAGTGCCAGCCTTTAATTATGTCCACGTAAGTTTTGTCGGAAACCGTCAATTAAGGGCCAGCTCACGTGATTTAACAAACATACTAGAAACTGATAAGGTATAGAATGAATACCGTCTTAAAAGGTAGAATCGTGTTAACAACCATCTTTAGACCATTTTGACGTCTAAAATTTTGGAATGTTTGATATGCAAATGTATCCAATTTAAAGAAACGTTTTGTGACGTCATCAGGAGCGGAAAATCACCTGACGCTATATAACACTTCTGTACGATCAAACAAGTCAAATGTTAATTCTTCAAGTTTCACAACTGAAACAAACTTATTCTTATTCTGCAAACGTGATTTCTTAAAACTCTACTGGGGGTCCTCTATATTAACAAATCCAAGCCTTGATGCACTCGAGTCTGGCGTTCAGCATTGAACACTCCCGTTTTTTTCTTTCCTCTACTTGTTTCTGTTATTCCAATTATAGCTCACTAGATAATATCTTTGTAAATATTGTATCCTTTCAAAAGAAAAAGTTCCATTTTCCACCTGTATTTAGTTGATATGAGGAATGAGAAAATGGATGTGAAGATAGTTTTTCTTGGAAAGTGATTACCTATTTCTTGTGCTATTTTCTTTTTTGTTCTTGGTTTCAGAAAGTCAAGTTCCAGGATGTTTTTTACGCCCCTCCGGTTGTAATGGTGTCTCCAAGACTTGGTTACAATAACAACAAATCACGTTTCTCAGGATCTGTACCATGTAACTTAGTTACTGCCTGGGTTGAGGTTAGAAACATATAGTCTGCCTATTCTTCCTGTGGTTCTAATAGGGAGAATTTGTTTAAAAGTAAAGAAATGTTGTTTTTACCGTTGTCCTTATACTCACGTTAGAAACTTGGATTTTTCCAACGACGTGTAGCGGGGTACATAAAGCGAATGAAGGCTATTTAACTGGTTTCTCATATTCATATAGTTATGGCAAATAGCCTTCCTAAATGATGGTACATTAAGCTCTTTTTACGAATAATAAAACCAGGCTTTCCGCAAAGGAAACACTCATAAGAACTCTTGTGCAGACTTGTGCTTTAGAAGCTGATTTTTTTTATAGTTTTGTACTCGTTTTGTTCTTTAAAACAAAGGTGTAAGATTTAACAGGTGATCATAAATTGTTTTAACAATTCATGATCAGTATTCGTTATTTCTTACTCTACTTGCAGTAACCCTTAGTTTAACCATCAGTAAATCGACAAGTCAGTTGAAATTTGAAAAAAAAAAATATTTTTTGACTTTTTTTGCTTTACTAACATAAAATGAACAGGTTTACTCTGGTTCAACAAAATACTATATTTTGTGAAATGTGAACTTAAAGTATTTCTCTCGTTATTTTGGAATATGCCTAGCATACATCTACAAACGAAACAGAAGTGTGCGTGAGTAGCTACAACAATGACGCCAACGATAAGGATATCATAAATGTCGATTATATGGTAATTGGAGGTACGTAATAAATTATGTAACGTAAAATGAGGGAACAGCAATGACTTTTGTCTGTAGACAATCACGGTGCTCTCCTAACAATTATACATAAAAGCGATTGACTGTACAATACAAAAACGCATATTTCGATTAAATTTTATCCTAAATTAAAGTTCTTTTCCTTTGTTTCAAATCATTCAGATTATACATTACCAGCCCCCCAAAACAAAAAAAAGTGAGATTAAAAAAAAATTCCGCAATATACGACATAGATGGAACTGAGCGCTCATGTGCTTTAGGCTGTGGTCACATTATACTGATAGCTTTTCGTGGTGCCGCGACTGAGAAGCTATCCGGCATAGTGTGTGAACACCTACATGTATCCAACATGTGACTCTCCACTTAAGAGATCTGCGAGGCACAGCCTCTCTTTGTCACAGAAATCACGCCGCCACAACCATTTTTTTTTTGTGTCAACAGAATCCCTATCCGATATGATTTTCGTGGCGGCCCAATATCTATCCGGTATACTGTGAACATAGCCTTAACTTTTATCCAGTTCCCTGATAACTCAAAATTCCAGGCTGTTTTATCTATTGACGAAATCGAAATGAATGAATCTGAGATGATGCACTCTGATTCCATCACTTGTATGTTTGTCTTTTAGACTTGGATCCTTGTATAGATGTGACATGTCATTATCACAGTCTGTGTAAGGCTTTTGGACCTAATGATGCACGCTGTGTGTGTGTTGACCGCTGCCCAACTTACAAAGAACCCGTATGTTCATCCAATGGCACTACGTACGACAACAAATGTCTGTTTGAACAGGAAGTTTGTCTCAATCAACTAAACTTTACCGTGCAACATCCTGGGAGCTGTGAAGGTCAGCAGTTTTGTTGCCTTTTTAGTGGTCAACGTGCACCTTTTCACTGAATTCTGTTAATCTTGTTGGACTGATGGTAACTTTGTTTTACTTCACTTCCGTTTACTTTCCCAATATTTTGGGGGTAAAGCTGTTGCGTCAACAAGGGATTTAAGTTTGTTACTATAAGCTTATAGCTCATCTTTACAACTCCTTTTTAGGATTTCCTCTTCAGCGTGGTCGCCTTCACATGGCCCATATTCCATCTCTGGGTTATTCTCACTGTCAAGTAATTAGTTTCGAACCTTTTGTGTTTTATCCTGACAAATCCATTGAAGTGCAGATAACTGTCAATCATATGGATACCACTGACAAATCGTATGTCCATGACGCGGCAGTATCGTGGATTGAAAATGTCAATAACGGCGGATTTACTGCCTGTGTGATGGCAGCCGGATATAACGAACGAAAGTCATATGCTAACGTGACAGTTGATTGGATGGCGTATCAAGGTGCTCCAATGGGTGGCGTGACTGGTGAACTGCGCATGTCACAGTGGTGGACAGGGACGACTTGTGCAACTGTCAAGTTTCCCACTGTGAGTTGCCCTGATCTATTTCTGAACGTTCTCTTTTTCAAAGCTTTAATGGTTACAAACATCATTCACGACAGTTGAACTTTTGAAAGTATTGTCAAATTACAGTTCAGGGTGCTTTATAGTTGTGAAAAAATGCTAAACAATAAAGTAGTTCATGAAATGAAATAAAATATAAAGTGATCGTTCTTTCACTAGTTAACCACATTTACTTATGTCAATTCGAAGAAGTGAAACATAACGTTCAAACTGCCGCGTTTAATAACTTTGCTAAATCTATAAAGATCACCATTCTTTCTTTGAATTGTTAATAAAGTTAATAAATAAAGAAATAAAAAATAAAGAAATAAATAAGAACAGATGATAATAATTTTAAATAGAGGCATTTTATAAGAATGAAAATTTTTCTGTGTTATTTGCAGAGGAAATTTTCAGTCAAACCTTCAGTCTTTGTGACGTCAAAGCATTACAATCCAGGACTAAAACGTGACGCTGCAAGTGTATGGATTGAAGATGTAACAAAATCATCTTGTAAAGTTTGTATGAGAGAACTGCAGAATTATGCTGGATCGCACCGAGATATTTTTGTGGTAAGTATAATGTATACTTGAGTGAATGTCAAACACGGATCATGCATTGGGCTGCCACGGGCTTTATAAGTTATATTACAGGTAATCCTACGGATACCCTTAAAAAGAACAGCCCGTAGCTATCATAGGTCGAGCAACTCCGCAAATTCATCTTAGAATTAGTTATTAAAAGGCGCAAATTGCTTTTCAACATTCTTCACCTTCACACCTCATGCCCATTGCCTTTTATTATTTATCTATGCATGCCGGTCGGTTAACCAGAAATAACGCGTTGTTGATTTCATTTTCAGAATTGGCTGGCCTTTTCAGATCTTCCCAACCCTCCCTTTTCAGAACATAATTGGATCTACTTTGCAAATGATAAACCTCCCAACAGCAGACATTATAATGCATTTTGCAAGGTCAGTATCAGCATTTGCGTTTGAAACCAAATCTCAGTGAAAAGCCTCTCTTTCAGACCATTAAAGCGAAAGTGTTTAACCTGTAACAGACTTAGCAATGTACATAATACTGACAATTCCATAGGTCACGCATTCGCTACTTCTATACCTCAGTCACCTCTATTATGGAATCTGTCCATTTGGTGTTTGTATGCATTGAATAGTTTTAAGAATTAAATGTAAGTATTCTGTGAAAGGAGAATGATAGAGCAAAAGCATAAAATCCATTTGAATGGCAATTTCAGGTTATCAAAGGTTTAAAGTTTAGTTGCAGCCTATGTTTCAAAAGGCTTCTTGTGTTTTGCTGAGTGAATTCAACTAACGTTGGCCTCAAAATCTGTTTCGCCTTTCTGTATTTGTTTCACAGATTTGAGCTTCTCAGTTTGGAAGTGTACTTTATGTAGTGCCAGCCCAGTTTACTGTGAACGTTGATATGGCATGCTTTTCCCAAAATTTTAAACTCAAAGTTAAGAATTAGTTCATTCAGGATAATCTCAAAATCGTCAGGGAAACAAAAAGACCTCCTTTTTCAAAGGTGGAGCAAAGCCTAATCAAAACCGAGGTTCTCAAATTTCACTTTATAACCTTTTTACCCGTCTCTAGTCAAGGACACTTTAAGGTAGTATCTATGAACAGTAAAGTAAGATTTAGTCATCCAGACCTTACCAGAGGATTCTATCAATACAAAAAAAAACTGTTGGACTTGGAAGTATTCTCTGTAGTTATTTCTTGATTAATGAATTATCTGCCTCTACAACTTGACTATATAAACTATAAAGTGAAATAGAAAAAGAGGTGTGTGAATTAGACGATATCTTGTTAACAATTTCCCTTCAAGTTGAAATTTTTCTTTACCTTTTATAGGAGGTAATCTTTGCCGAAAGTTATAACACAACGCAACACGTCTTCGTTTCTGCTTCTCACTCGACAAAAGGAGGAAATCAAAGTCCAGTTCATAACAGCATAGCAGCCTGGGTAGAGGTTGGTAACTAGTGATGTCAGGAAATCAAATTTCATATTAAATTAAGAGTAGTATAGTAGAGAACTAATTAACCTTTTTTCGCGGACGAATCTCGTTATTCTGCTGAGGAACACATAAACACTGATGATGTTATGACCTTTTGTTTTTATTCCTTGAATAGTAACCTGTGAATAATCGTAATAATAATAATAATAATAATGATAATAATAATAATAATAAATGAAAACCGTAGTGATCCCTGTGGTTGTTGGTGCGCTTGGTACAGTGAGGAAGGGTATGGTAGAAAACATCAAGAAAGTATCAGAAAGAGCTAATATGACAGAGATTCAAAAGATCTGCATGCTGGGATCTGCACGAATCCTCAGAAAGGTGCTCAGTGTATGAACAGAATGATTGACTTGAGTGACTGACGCTCTAGGTGCATGGTTTGCGCCCGGCTGATGCACAAAAAGAACACCAGCAAAGACTGTGATAATAGAGACAATAATAATAATAATAATAATAATAATAATAATAATAATAATGTTTATCATCATAATCATAACATATTTAACCAGGGTAAACCTGTCAGTGAAAGCTGTTATAAATGGGAAGAACGATACCAATTTCAGCGCTGAAGAATACAGTCAACTACAACAAATAAAGATAAAAATAAGTAGTTACGGGTGTATACTGGTGCTTGGACACCAGTGAAAAAAGTGCCTTTCTTAGCAGATTCTGTGCGTACTGCAGAAATTAAAGTATCTAAATATAGGTGGAATCTCATTAACATAGGTCGTGTGCCATTTTAAGGAGGTTTAACCGGTTTGCACTGGGGCTTTCTAGAACTTGTTAGGGAAACAAATGCGTTGCTTTTTGATTGGTTGACTAAAAATTAAGTAAAGTATTTATTTGTAGATTTATGCTGTCAAAGTAATAAGCGCTAGCTTCCTTTTGACATGAAATCGCTGAGTAAGTATCCAGTTCTCCTGCTTTCATTGCCCAACAATTTTTTCCAGGTTAGGTTCTCTGATTCTTGGCGAGCAAATCGTGCATATTGATGAGTTCGAAGACAAACTAGCTCTTTCTAATAACAAACCGAATTTTTAACTTACCCGAGTCCCCCTTCTTTTCTCTACAATTCAGTTTTTTCCCTTCACTTTCCTTTTTTTGATTTTCCTTTAAGCACGAAAACCACCACCACAGCCTACAGAACCACATTTTCTTTGTTTTTCCGGTCCTCCTCCACCACCACCACCTTACTATTGTTTTCCCACTACTACCACCTTTCTATTGTTTTCTCTCTTTCTCCACCAGCACTACTGCCACTACCAAATTTCTAGTGCTTTCCCTCCCTCACCTGTCCATTTCTATTGCATTGTTTTCCCTACTCCACCACCACCACCACCACATCCCAATGCGTATTTCCACCAATACCACCATATTCCAATGCGTATTTTAGGACTAATGTTTAGTGCTTTTACATACAGTATATTAGCAGGAAAGGCTTTCGGGTTTGTGTCAAAGAACTGTATGAGGCAAAATACGACCCACTCTTCATATCCTACATAGTTTTGTCAGGTAAGAACTTTACTGCAAAAAAAGAGAAGATTTTTTACGGTATGTCTTTCAATATTGTCTCTTATTTGTGACTCAATGCCGTGATTTATACGCACAGATATCTGTCCAGATGGATGGGATTACTTCAATGGATACTGCTATTTAACGAGCTCTGTTTGCGCACCTTGGGTGACTGCAGTGTCCAACTATTCAGCTATGAACTCACATCTGGTAACAGTGCACAACCAAGAAGAAAATGTCTACATACAGCACCGTCACAATGGCGAGCGATCATGGATTGGCCTTAATGACCGAAGCGTCGAGGGATCTTTTGAGTGGACAAACAAGGAAATAATCCGTTTTCAGTACTGGGCTCCGCAACAACCAAACAACTTGAAAAACGAAGACTGTGTCCACGCCCTTGGTGCAGAGGATGGCTACACTTGGAACGACGTGTCATGTTATAAATGCTATAACTATACTTGTGTTAAAGGCAAGTTTTGAGTTACCATATAAATACTACAAATCCAAACCTTTGTCACCAATAACGAGGTTTGAAGATCACTTCTGCAGTAGTGAGTTTTTATGATAATTTTATCGCCGTGTTGTTGATCAGAATTATATAAAGTCTGCATTTTTATGTAGCCGTCTTCCAGGCGGTAGTCTAAATATTTAGGTAATGCTGCTACCAAGTAAGATCACGGTGATGGTCTTCATTGACTTTTGTTGTCTACTGCAGACATTGACGAATGCATCAGCAATTATCACAGGTGTGATCCAAACGCTGCTTGTCAGAATACCATGGGCTCATACATTTGCACTTGCAAACCTGGATTCTATGGAAACGGGAAAAAGTGCTTTGGTAACTTTCACAATCCTTTTTTATGCTTTCCTGACCGTTGCATTCTGGTTGGCTGTCGAGTTAACATATTTGCCTTTTAAGGTAACTAAGGTACTATATTCTTTTAATTCCAGTATGTATAGGTCAGAACTTACTAATATTCTAAAAAAAACTAACTAAGAATTACAATGGGCATTGTCGGTCTTCGTTTTGACAATTTATTAGGCACATAGAATATCTGCTAATAGCACATTTAGTGTCCTGTCGGCTCCGTTCTGCGCTCAGGTTTATTTTTAATGTGATATATATATATATATATTTTTTGTTCAACTTGTCAGTTGGTTTAAATTTATCATGCATTGGCATACGTCAAAACAAAGTAATAAAAAATTATCAGCGCTAGCACATAATTTACTTAGTCAGGATTCACTGACTTCTCAGATTATCATTTGTTTTCTCCGTCATTAGATATTGATGAATGCAGCAACAAAACCCATACCTGTGATGTGAATGCAGTTTGTAGCAACACTCAAGGCTCTCACAACTGCACCTGCAAACCTGGATACTCTGGGGATGGAAAGAAATGCATTGCAGTTGGTATGCAGCATCCCTACAGAATTCCTATGATATTGTCTATAATTATTTTATACTGTTTAGTACGGAAAGCTGGTTCAGTTTACGAATATTTTGCCTAAATATAGACAGTTAGGCTTAATTTGGTAGGTGTTTAGCGACATTATTCCGGGCCTGAATTTCTTACACAGTTTCTCACACAGCTTGCAGTACAGTGTATAAAAAGCAGATATTATTGTTGACTTTATAAGTTGTAAAGTAGCCATATCTTGCCAAATGTTGAGTAAACACGCAGTGCTAATGTCATGTCTTCCAGCTTATAAGAACTGTGCTGAACTGTACAAAGTTGGAAAACGAACAAGTGGAGTTTACAAGATCGACCCAGACGGTGCAGGTGTCTTTGACGTGTACTGTGACCAAACAACAGCCGGTGGGGGGTGGACAGTGTTCCAAAAGAGAATGGATGGCTCGGTTAATTTCTACCGCGGCTGGAACGACTACAAAAAAGGTTTCGGAAATCTGAATGGCGAGTTTTGGCTCGGACTGGACAAAATTCACCGCCTGACAAAAACTAAAAGCAAACTTCGAGTGGAGCTCGAGGACTTCAACAGAAACACGGCTTATGCCGAGTACAGCTACTTTGCTATAACAGACGAAAGAAGCAAATACAAGCTGAGTCTTGGAACTTACTCCGGTAATTGTATTACTAACTTGATTAAAAATGGAGTTCGGGGAAACGTCTTATAGATGCCCAAGACGAAGTTAATGCTAATGATTTTGACGTTAAAGAAATAAATACTCACCTCAGAGATACAGCTAGTCCCACAGGCAATGAAGTATGTAATAATCACACAGCTATCATGAAATAAGAGTACTTCAAATTAATATAATATGGAGCATTAAAGTGATTTTACTTCGACCATGAAACGGATTCAATGTTTCCTACTGTCTTTAGATCTTAACCATCGTATTGAAAATCACAGTAATGTGGAGAAAAATTTGAGGAAATATCATTTGTTCCAATTTAATTTCCCAGGAAATGCTGGTGACTCGCTAGCTCGTCATAGAGGCTACCCTTTCTCCACTAAAGATCGAGACAATGACCAGGATTCTGTTCACTGTGCTACAACGTTCAAAGGGGCCTGGTGGTACGACGACTGTCATTATTCCAACCTGAACGGCCTCTATCATCGCGGTAGACACTCTTCAGGTGCTGATGGTGTGAACTGGTACCACTGGAGGGGATATAACTACTCCGCTAAACGAGCTGAAATGAAACTCAAACCAGTCAACTTCAAACCAACAAAAAGCGGTTTTCAGTGCTAAAATCTGCTTGATTCGCAATGGTCGTTTAAATAACTTAGCTGTATCACTCATTTTGTCAGACTGCTGCGGAAATAATAAATTAAGCATAACAAACTATTTTCCCAGATTTGATAGAAAAAACTATAACATAAAAGACGTCACAATTGGCTTTCGCAATTTACGATATTGTTTCTCATTCATACTAACTACCTTCTCTCCTATTAGTCTTTCTTCTTCCGATTCACTGAACTTTATGGTTTTTTAAATACATCTCCTATTCTTGCTTTACATATCCGTTATGGCTCAGTCAATTCCAAGGATGCCCATCCCCCCGGGCATTTGTGAATTCTTCTAGAAACGGTTAACATTGTTCCTTTGTCGATATTTCACTTTAAAGTATGCCTATTTTGATAGCTATTGATATTTTTCATAAAGAATATTTTGAGTACACATGCTTTAAAAAGACAGGTGTAGTATTCGCTTCATCACCACCCTACCACACAGTATTTTGTGCATCCGTCTAAGAAGCAGTTTCCGCCAACGTGATCGGTTTGCAAATGGAGGAGAAACAATCAATGCATCGTTTTAAGGAAAAGACACCGAGTGGCTGAGGCAGAGAGGCCTAGAAAAACTGTGCGAGATGTTTGAAAGCTAATATAAACTTCGTGTTTTTTTTAGTGCGACGACGTTGACGGTACGGTTCCGTCGTGATGACAAAATAATCATGTTTATAAGCTTGTCGGTTATTTGTTTATCATTCCCTATTTTAAATACCTTCGAAAATAAGGAAGGTGTTATTAAAACTCTAGTCTATAGTTCTGTAATTGGTATTAATAAGATCGGATAAATCTTTTTTTGCAATAATTATAACTGGCGGCTAGGAGCGCGGATTTCCGATGGGTGTTTCACGCGGTCAGATTATTACAGATTATTACAGATTTCCTATAAACAAAATATGGCATTTGCAGCTTATTTACTGTAAAATACAATGTTAGTGTTGGCCCGGGGTGGGGCATTCGCCAACTTTTTTATGCCCCACCGTGGGGTTTTTGGATGAATCGCCCGGCCCCACTATGTGGTATTTGCAGCTTTTCCGACAAAAAAAGTGACAAATGCCCAGGGGAAGGTGGGATGGGTAGGCTCGGAATTGCCTGAACCATTATTGACCAAGCAGAAGGTCAAGATGGCTGGATATTAGCCAAGTTCGTCTGTCCGTTTTTATGGACCGAGTGGAGGCCAATAGACAGCCATCTTGATCGAATAAGCTTGGTAAATAAACGATTTTAAAATATTATTATATTGCCAAAAAGACAACATTTTCTTGGGGAACAACGCGAGAAATCCTGAGCCCGCTTGGTTAGCCAATCAAAACGCAGGATTTGTTCCATCTTGCCCGCTCACGGATTCAGCCATATAATAATTGAACACTAAGTTCACGAGTCCATTACAGCGCAGAGTTCTTTTGATTAACTTACGCTCTCACATAGGCGTACGGGCCGGGGGGGCGAGGGGGGCTGCAGCCCCCCCAAATTTTGGGCAACTCAGATTTTTTGGGCAGCGAGAGAAAATTTGGGCAAAGCCAGTTTATAAAGACGTCTCCATTTTATTTAATTATTTGAAAGACCTGGATATTAACCTGAAGTCGGCGTAACAATTCAGTTACATTAAAGTGGTTGCTTAGCATGTGATGAGTAATTTACATATTTGCAGTTTTTTGGTTGGGCACTATACTGCACTGCACTAGCTGGAATGGGCTATTTCCAGTCGAGAATTGATTAAAATAAACTTTCGCATAACTTTCTAGAATCATCTCCACTCGACGAACAGTGTATGGCAGATAGCATTTAGCAATGGGTATTGCCTGCATAGCAAGCGTTTCCGCGTAAGCTCGACTGGAAACGCTTGCTACGCAGGCTACAATGGGTATGAAAATGAAGAAGTGGCTGACTAAATATAATTCTCAGTTTGAATTACGAGAAGAATCTTAATTCGTTTAAAAAATCTATCGAGCGGTTTAAAATTATTCGCTAATTTGTTAAAGTAGACCGAAATGTTTTCAAAACCGCTAACAAGAGTGTCTCGATACATACTAATCAAATCCTTCTTTCGATTCTAGCAATCAAGCAGAGCTATCTCCACGATCTTTCACACATGTTTTTAAAAAGATTAAAACTACTATGAGGTGAAATTGCAGGTCAAAAGCACTTCGTTTTCTACAGATAACGGCCAAAAATCAAGATTTTTCTTTTCTTACCGTATTTCTAATAATAAACACTTCATTGCAAAATATCTCGATAACGCTCTTAAGGTTTTGCTTAAACTTCACGGACATCGAGGCCACCGTATTGGAGAAAAAAGCTCCTGTGAACGATTTTGTAAGGTTCCCGTCCCGCGAATCACTGCTGAAGTAAAATAGGTAATTGAGTCATTTCGTTGCTATGACAACTCCGATGTCATTGCAACCCTGGTGATGACAAATTTTCATCTTAATACAACTGTGGTCGCAATTTTTCCAAATGTTTGTTTATGGCGACGTAGTTTATGCTCAGACTTGGTATTGACCCTGAAAAACTGTATCGAGCCACCTTAATATGCCAGGACGGCCTATGTTGTTGCCATATGGCCCTCATTTCTTTTCGACTCTTTCGTAAAAATTTGGGGAACTTGCGATATGTTTTGGGCAAATGGTTTACCGCCCCCCCTGGCAAAAAATTTCCCGTACGCATGAGAGCGGCTCTCATATGCGATAGATGTGTACAAACGTTTAGCAAGCACATTCCGAACAAAAATAAAGCTTTCAAGAGATTTTTCACCTTACCAAAAAAAGGAAACAGATACGAGCACATGCGTTCCAGATCAATTACTCATTGAGCACTGAATGAAGGTGGCTCGACTTCATTTTTTGGGGTTGATACCTCCCAAGTTTGAGCATTAACTACGGCGGCATGAATAAAGATACGGAAAAAAAGTTACCACAGCTGTATTATATAAAGATGAAAATTTCTTATGATCTGGGCTTTATTGCAATCGAAGTCGCCATGGGAACGTAATGACGCCATTACGTTTTTCATTTATGTTTCTCCGTACCAGGAGTTTTTTTGAAGAAATCGCTTAAGGGAGTATGTACCTGCCATAATTGCCTCCATTATGGAAAAGTTTAAAGAAATTGTATGAGAGCGTTTTCGAAATATTTTGAAATGCAGTTTTAAGAATCATCAAAGCCGTGAAATAGCATGCTAGCCGCACAATTCGCTAATATTTTAAGAAAATGATAAGCTTTGGAATCGCGGCTTCCTCTCATAGTGGTTTGATTCCATTGAAAACTGCATACAAAAAAAGAGGGGAATTGCTCTGGGCGATCGCGAGTAAGAAGAATTTTATTAACTTGCATTCAGCTGCTTTTGATAGAGTTTTTGGAGGTAATTTGGTCCATGCCTAAAAATTTCGCATTTTTCCAAAAACCGCTCGATAAATTTTTTTATAAATTCGACAATTCCGAGATCAGTCGTCAAGAAATATTCCCTGCAAGTTTTAAGAACATTGAAAACAGGGAAGGCTTTTGAATAGGGCCTCAAACATAACCAATTCCCCCCCCCAGATTTTGTGTTTACCAGTGAGCGTCCTAATTATTCACTGGCATTGTTTTCAAGTTTCATATACACGTGCACAACTAGCAAAAGATATAAATTTGCATAAAAAAAACTCTCGATTACTTTGCGAAGAAATATGCGGAATATGCTAATAATTGGCTTGTCGTCACAGATAGCAGTGAGAGCCGAAGCGGTGAAAGTCACGGCTCATCGTGTAGGATGCAATACTTAATTATCTTACTCGGGTTATAACATCACAGACACTCTCACAAAGAGTCGCTCTGATGTTATAATGTATCACTAATCTCTTTACCCGGTAATTGGCATATCCCGGAGATTTAACCGAGGGTCCTTTTTGATGCAGATTCTATCTTTTTGCTAAATGTGCACGTGTATATGAAACTTGAAAACAATGCCAGTGAATAATGAGAACGCTCGCTTGTAAACACAAAATCTGGGGGGAAAATTGGCTATATTTGAGGCCCTATTTAAAGGCCTTCCTTGTTTTCAATGTTCTTAAAACTTGCAGGGAATATTTCTTGACGATTGATCTCGGAATTGTCGAATTTATAAAAAAATTTTATCGAGCGGTTTTTGGAAAAATGCGAAATTTTTAGGCATGGACTAAATTACCTCCAAAAACTGTATCAAAAGCAGCTGAATGCAAGTTAATAAAATTCTTCTTACTCGCGATCGCCCAGAGCAATTTCCCTCTTTTTTTGTATGCAGTTTTCAATGGAATCAAGCCAATATGAGAAGAAGCCGCGTTCCCAAAGCTTATCATTTTCTTAAAATATTAGCGAATTGTGCGGCTAGCATGCTATTTCACTGTTTTTATGATTCTTAAAACTGCATTTCAAAATATTTCGAAAACGCTCTCATAGAATTTCTTCAAACTTTGCCATTATGAAGGCATTTATGTCAGATACATACTTCCTTAAGCGATTTCTCCAAAAACTCCTGGTACAGAGAAACACAACGATATATGAAAAACTTAATGGCGTCATTACGTTGCCATGGCGACTCCGATTGCAATAAAACCCATATCATAAGAAATTTTCATTTTTATATAATACAGTTGTGGTAACTTTTTTTCCATATCTTTACTCATGCCGACGTAGTTAATGCTCAAACTTGGGAGGTATCCCCCTAAAAAAATCCAGTCGAGCCGCCTTAAGACCTGAAGAACGAACAAGGAACATTTCAGTTCACCCGACAGCATTTCTGGTGATTTCAGGCTGTTGTATCGTACAGTTAGCTGCTGTCTATAACTAAAAGGTTTACGATGTTTATTATATCGACAATTCTTTAACATTTCACTCATTGAAGCTATCTTTTCAGCCTTTTCGAAATATCACGCGAACTATCTTAGCTGAGAAATACCAAAAACAAACCAGAAAAATATAGCTTTCTGAATTCATTCATGTAGAG